AAAGCACGGAAGCAAATAATCCAGATAATGAACAGTTCCATAATGGTAATAGCAACAACAGATATTTTTCAGCCCCCTTTCAAAATGATACTTGGCATTCTGGGTTCACTGGGCTAAAAAGAAACAGGGATGATGCTGTTTTGAATGAGATAGAAATTCAGGTACACTTGCAGATCATATGAAACGTAATTGTTATTTGTTCCTTTAACACTTCTCTCTAATTTGTGTTATTTTGCTTATCAGGATGGATGTTCTAGCCGTCAAGCAACCGGCTTGACTCACCATTTGAGCCTGCCAAGAACTTCCGCTGAAATGGCTGCCATAGATAAGTTAGTGTTTCAACAAGATTCTGTCCTTTTTAAGGCTCGGGCTAAAAGAGGTTGCGCAACTCACCCACGAAGCATTGCAGAGAGGGTAAGCAGTTCAACTACTGTCTTTGACAGGATTAATTTCTCAGAGTTTCCTGAATGTGCCTTTGACCTAATCCAAATAACCATTTGTTTGACATATATACCTTCTCGGATTTGATTTCAGAATAGAAGAACACGGATTAGTGAAAGAATGAAGAAACTGCAAGACCTTTTCCCAAATTTGGACAAGGTAGTTTGTCTTAGGTTCAGATTATCCTTTAAATGTAACTACAAGATCATAACAGAAACTCAAGTTTTCTCCCTTTTCTTACTTGACAGCAAACAAGCACGGCAGATATGTTAGATCAGGCAGTTGAGTCCATTAAGGACCTTCAGAAACAGGTCAAGGTATGCCCCAAAAAAAAATATCTAACTTCCAAGTTTCAATATCGCATAAGAACCTCCTACCAACTTCATTAAATTTCCTGCTTTTCGTGCAGATGCTTACAGACACTCGCGCCAGGTGCACATGCTCGAGAGCATAAATATTTATCAAATCCTATCGCATGACGTGCTTGTGTACAGATAATGATTGGAAGGAAATATGGAAAGAGGAAAAGTAGTAGAGCTAATTCATTCATTGTCCTTTGACCTGGATGAAGTAGTTTCACCATCCAGTTGTGCCTTCTATAAATAGCAATAAACTCTTGGGGCAACTAAGCTCGTGTTGTACCTTATTTAATGTAGATAGATGAATGTAGTTGAGAGGTTGACCCAACTTCAGTTAAATTCTGTCACCTAGCCAAGCTTCATTTTCCGGTTGGTCTTGCGAGATTGACCAAAAAATCTGTAACCTCCAGCACAAGAGCTGGAAAATTGAGATGGATCGGATGATTTTTGTGAATGGATTCTGCCAAGGATTCATGTTAATGCACTGTTGCACTAAACTATTCGCGAATGCTTATTGATTTGAGGTTTTTGTTCTCTATTCTGATCTGATATTATTAAACCTTTTAAAACTAAATCAGCTTATAAATTTTTTACTTCGAGATGAAACAAAACACAAAATGTTATTTTTGTTTAATGTTTATTTTAAACATGACTCTTAAACAATAAAAATGGGGTTTGGTTTTCACTCTCTCTCTTTTGCGGTCATCATATACTAAACTAAATGGAAAGCAATTTTTGGCAATATGGATGTCCTCTTTTGCGTCAATGTCCTTCTATCTATGATCCAGCTTACATTATCATGATGCTTCTGTGAGGCTTCTGTTTTTACCCTTTAAAAACTGCAAGAAAATTAAAATCAGAATTTTGCAAGTTAATTGACATGAAAGATGCAAAATCCTAACTTCATACTTACATGGCTTTTTCACATACAACCGCAAACAAAAGTTGAAAAAACGTTGAGTAGGAAACATTTAAAAAAAGTTCTTAAAAACAAGTAATCATTTCTTAGAGAAACCTGGGAATTTCTTCGGGTGTTGTACTGACTTTTCTGGCCACTTGGATGGGACGCTCCCTTGCTTGCTTAAGGAAGAGACTCGCTGCTGGTTTTCTAAATTGCTAGCAAGTCCAAGAACTCGACAGGATTCTCCAGCTCCATCAAACAAAGATCGGTTTTCCTTTTCATTTTTCTACAAGTATTAGACCTTTTTCTTTGTTTTGGTTACAAGTAATTAGACCTTTTATTTTAAGAAAGAAAACACATATATGTTAACTGAGCGCAAGATCTTATACACCCATATAACAACTAAGACAACGCAGACAGAAAAACAAGACGACGCGGAAAACAAATAACCTAGTGCACAATTAGTAGGCACATGAAACTACAGGATTCTTATATCTTGATTTTAACCAAGTTCAGTCTCTCGAAATTTTCCCACAAGTATTACGAAAAAGTTATATTCAACGAATAATCAAACTCCTCCAAAATGTGTTATACGAAGTTTGGAGTAGAAAATGCTTTTCAAAAGAAACCCAACTTGTCATGATCATTAAAATCATAGAACCCGCTTCATAGCATCTTTAGTTACCTTTATTGAGTTACCTTTATTGTCTTTGTTTAAATTTAGCATTTCGTTCTTTTCTTTTCTTTTTTTTTTTTTTGATTACCAAAGGGCCGAAGCATAAAAAAACGGATAAAACTAACTAGGATCAAGGGATACCAACATATCCAATATCAAGATCTTGACTCTCAAATCAGGAGGAAAGATGCTGATTCCTTCGATCCATATAAGAAAAAAGATTTGATTTGTTCGTGTAATCACCACAGAGTTTAGACCTCTTCGAATTTTTTGTTAGCCTTCTACTCCCACCATCAGTCAAACAAAGTGGTAAAAAATTAGGATTCAAGTTTACATCTAGAAGTGTTAAGTCGGGATTTGTAGGAGAGTTGGTTCTTGAGTGGTGAAATCGCTAGGCAATTATATGCCTAGGGTTAAAAATGGGCATCTTGAAGCGATTGGAGAATGGATCGTCATTTGGTTTGGAATTCAACACAGATGCAAAAGCAAGCCCATAAATACGATCCAACCCGATCTGAGCAGAGAGTTGGAACCTAGAACAAGTGTTTTTGGAGCACTCTTTCTTCTTTTCTTTTTTTTTTTTTTTTTGGGGGGGTAGACCAAAAAGGGCCGTGGCCCAGTGAAAGAAACAACTATACTCCATATTCCCGGAGCACTCTTTCAGCCCTAAAGGAAATATGTCAAGATACCTCAAAAAATAAAAGAAAATAAACAAAGACACATGTTATAAAATTGACCAAAAAAAAAAAAAGAATAGAAATCTGACCTGACCTTAAATTTACCCGAGTTACTTAATGGTAGAATAGAAACATCAAATGGAGATATTGGTGAAAGTTAGAAAGTTGATGAAGCTACCTTCATTAGCAATTTTTTTCTTCATGAGAGGCATAAACCGACAGAGAAAGCACCTTTTGCCCTAAATCACAAACCCGCATGGTTGATCCCTCCAAATATGTGTAGTTAGAATGTGTTGGAAAAAGGAAAATTGGTAAGCTTAACATGAATCTAGATTTTTTTTGGTGGACTAGTGAAAGTGCAAAAGCCATTATTGTTATTAGTGCAACACTTCTTTTTTTGAGATCCTCTTTGTTACTAAGAATGACAATGAGTTGAATATAGTGCAGGTACCAATGTATCTATCTCTGCATTCAATTGAGAAATTTATTCTCGTAACTATTCCTATCGAACAATATTATATTTGTTCTCGTAATTACTTGAAAATAATTATTTTTAAAAATTAATATATTTTATTAAATATATATTTTTAATATATTAATTTTTAAATATTTTTAATACATACAACCCATGTTCTGTCACTATACCCGAAAAATTTTTATAAAAATCTCAGTACTCATTTTCATTTCTATTTTATTAGTGCTCATATCAGACCTTGATCGGGAAAAAGATATTGCAATTACCCATCAGGATAAGCAAAATTGTCGGCCCATCTATTATTTTTGGTTCTTGGGTGAGTGTTCTTGGAACTTCTTTCCTTGATCCTCACTTGCCTTGCCTCCATTGCTACCTGACTTGAAAACAAAAGATGCCCAAAGGTTGGGCCAGGAGAATATAACTCTCTGCTTGTTCATCATATTCCTCAACTGGCTGTCAGGTCAACTATATAATAAAGATTTGTAATTTGTGTGGATATGCAATATGGAAAAAGTAAAAACAATTTTTTCTGGATTCTAGCCAGATAGTGTAATAATCAACAGTGGTGGTAATAATAAATAGCACGGGTTTGAGATATTTGAAAAAATACAATATTATTAGGTAATAAAAATAAAACAGAACTATTATGTATAGATAATAAATTATAAATTTAAATGTTAAAACTAAAATTACAAATAACACTGGGCGCGTGCATATTCTAACAATAATGTGAGTGATTTAAAAATTTAGTTGAATTTTAACAGGTGATTGATTTTTTTAAAATTATTATAAAATTTTTTAACTTATTTTATGATTTGAAACTAATATAAAACTCTTCTCTTATTTAAAGAATACATATTCACGTATTTAAATATATTTTTTTATAAATATAAAAATATATTATCATCTATTATATACTTACTAATCTCTAAATGCAACAAATGAATTTGAATAAGATATTTTCATCTAAAATTATATAACAGAATTGTCTAAATATTCTGAATATATAATAATGAAGGAGAAGAGGAAGTGAAATAAAAAGTACCAACTAAACCAAAAGAAGTTCCACCTTTCTTTACCATATTTGTTCGTGACAGAGTTCACCGTGAGCGCGTTTCTCTTTTTGAAAGTCAAGTGCAATACAGTCATCTCAAACCCCACGTTCCGGTCTTTTCCTCTTTCTTTCTTCCCAGACACAAACCCTAGCTTCCTCTCTCTCTCTCTCTCTCTCTACATACATGCGTCCACGTCCACCTATAACGTATATGTGTACAGATATATATGAACTGATGACACGTTACGACGAGTTTGCTTCCCCCTCACACTTTGCTGTCCGTTAGCTGTCTCGCTCGGCGATCGTAGCAGCGCCCTGTCTAATTAATGTTTTGATCGATCGGGCGCTTGATTTTGTTCAGATTTTCTATTTTAGTTTTGGTTTGACGTTGATTTTCATTCACACGGCCGGGGAAACATGTCGAACTTGTATGGAGATTTCAACCAGAAGATCGACTACGTGTTCAAGATCGTACTGATTGGGGACTCCTCGGTGGGGAAATCGCAGCTCCTGTCTCGGTTCTCGAGGAACGAGTTCAGTTTGGATTCCAAGGCGACGATTGGGGTTGAATTCCAGACAAAGACGCTCGTCATCGATCATAAGACGGTCAAGGCTCAGATTTGGGACACTGCTGGACAAGAGAGGTAAATCTGCCACTCTTTTGTCTCTCCTAACTCCTAAACTTTGTCTTTTTAGTTTGTGTCCGCTGAATGAGAAGATGATTTGGTTCATGTTAGACTTGAGGAATGAGTTTTTTTTATTTCTTTTTTCGTCTTCTTTAGCTTGTATTTCTTTGACTAATGATTTTATTTCATTGGCGATTAAGGTGTCAACTTAATTTGAGATTTTACGGAAATGGACCTTGAATTTGTAATGACTTTTTGCGAATCCTTTTATGAAAGTATTTTCGAGCATCAAGGTGCTACTAGGCAACAGCTGATATCGATTTCTTGTTGATAAGAATCTTCTTAATTTTGACAAATATTTAAGAGATTGAAGAATTTGTTATAGGTGGTGTGGTGGTGTGGTCTTTCCTTTTGCCTTCTACTGGTTGACTATATGCATTTTTAAGTAAGCCAAGTTGAAAGAGGCTTTTTTTTCCCATTTTTGGGAAATGATTTGGGCAGTTCTGATGCCGTAATAGTATTCTTCTATTTACAGCTCAATATTCTACATCACGAATTACAAATTGGAAGAAGTGTGTTAGCTATCCTTCCATTTTAATAGTAGAAGTTAATAATGATGATTTGATCAATTTCTAATAGTAATTTTATGTTATTGAAATCTATTTATTCCAATCCACTGTGCCCTCGCGCCGCAGCGCGGGGGGGGGGGGGGGGGGGGTGGGGGGGGAGGTGCTTCTGATTAAAGCAAATGTTTAGGAGATTGCATTGATGCAAAAGAAGTGTTTCCAAACTGTTAGATATCAAAGTATAAGGGAAACTCTTTTATGGAGGCATGTAATATGGACATTCAAACTTAAGGTTCATGTCAATGATCATTAATAAACTAAGTGACTTTCTTTTCTTTACATGCCTCAGAATACTACTTTCTGTTACCTGATAATAGTCATGTGCGATGTTCTTTGAAAGTGTCGTAATTAATCATATCCAGATCAAAGTACTGATTTTCTCATTGGTACAATGCATTGAAGTACTGCTGGTTTTGAAGCAATTTTTTATTTTCTACTATAGTTACTGTATTTAAAGTAAATAATTATGTATTCAGAACTTGGCATGCTGACTGTGGCAATACCTGCATCAAATATTGTTCAAAAACTAAAACACATTCTCCAAGATGAATACATCCGTAATCCATAAATAAAAAATATATATCCTGCCTCGATATAATATTTTTACAATATATTTTTGTTGGGAACTAAACAATATAGTTTTTAGTTTTACCTTATTTATTTTTCATTCTCGAATGTTTGATCTAGAAATTGGATGGTTATTTCTATTTTAAGAGTGAAAAATGCTATAAATAATCTAAAATATTTAGAATTTGCAGCAATTGGCATCTTTAAATTAAAAATTTAAAACTAGAAACATCTCCAAATTCACTTATATTTGTTTTTGTCATTATATAGGATTGTAATTTGTATGTAAATAAGTGTATCAGAACCTTGCATTGAGTGATTTGAAGTTAGAACGCTTTCATGTGACCTGTTTCAGCCCTGTAAAGGCACCTTTTTCATCTGTTATATAATTGCATGCCAAGTTAGTAAATTAATTAGTACAAATGGGATGTTCTGATATAGACATGGCTATATAACTAAAGAAACCTCATTATTGACTGGTATAGTAAAACAATTATTGGGAATGGAATGGGGCTGACTAAATGCAGTTTTTAAGCTGGTATGAGATTAACAATTATGGTTGATAAAATGCAAATTGATGATTAGGTGCACTGGACGAAAATAACTGAGGATGTGAAAGGACTTGTTGACCTAAGATACTTGTTGAAAGAAAATGAAGGACTAAAATAGTATTTGTAACTTTACAAAGATGATATAGAGCGAAAAAAGAGTACTTTGTTGTTTAGGAGGACATATGACCTGTTTTTTCATCTATTGCATGCTTCTATTTTGAAAATAATGCCCTATCAGGTCATTTGTGAATCTCCAACTTTGTTTTGCTCTTAAGTATCCTAATCCCGTGAAGTTTGTTTATCATTAGTCTGTGTCAAAGTTTTGACATATAGAAGGGTATAAGTTCTTAGAAGGTACTGTTGTTGACTTCATAAATTTATTGAAGCCTGAAGGTAATGAACTTTCATGCCACAAAGTTTGCCTACTATATACCTTGTCAAGTACACAAGGTACCTTGTTGATTTCTGATTTGTGGAACTCATTAACCTAACTAGGTTATCTTCCTTCTTGGACTGAGTGTTATGAATTGTGGATAAACTACTTCAAATATATATTTGGGCCCTTAAATGCTTGAGAAACCATGGCTGAAAAAAAAAATTTGGAGAGTTGAAACTAGCACATTTGATTGAAACTTGACAGCTGTAAATGATAACAGGTACTCATAAGCAGGCATATAGCTGAATTACTTGGGGGGTGTACACTGTGCCTATAGCAAATCACATCTGATTGTTATAATGTGAAATAGTTGCTAATCTTGATACTTCCCTAGATGGATTGCACAATCATATTCATCAACTAGCCAAAGGAAAATGAAAAAAGGGGGGTGGGGGAAGAGAATTAAGGAGGCAAAGGAGATTTATTATAATATTTCTAAAACCTTGTGGAGCTTACACGTGTATCATTATCATCAAAAATCGGGACTAAGTTGGTAACCACTAGTCAGCCTTTTGAGTAGTGAATGCACAAAAGTTTCCTTTAAAATGTTTTTTTTATCTATCTTTTTGTTTTTACACTGTTTGTTATGCCTTTTTGGTTTGTATAAACCCTCTGATAACAAAAATTCATTTGTTTGATATGTCAAACAATATGGTCAATTATATCTATTAGGTTCTAGTGGAGTTTTGAAATCTGTGGAGGAGAAAAAAATGATAGTCTCAGTTTCTATTTTATGAATTTGGTATATGGTAAAGTTGAATCTGTATTTGAAGAGGCAGGGAAATTGGCAAGGGTTGAGGTGGTGGTGGTTCTGAAGGAATCAATGAGGCCTAGCTTTTACATTAAGGAATTTTATCAAAGAGTTGGAATTACTGAAGTCGTCTGTGTGCGTCTGTGTGCACACACATGTGGGTGCATAAAAAAACGGGGAAGGAGAGAGATCTGTCTCTGCCATTAAAGACTTGAACTAAGATTTCTGTGTTTTTTATGGCCTCAGGTACCGGGCAGTGACAAGTGCATATTACAGGGGTGCAGTGGGAGCAATGCTGGTTTATGACATGACCAAGCACCAATCCTTCGATCATATAGCAAGGTGGTTAGAGGAGTTGCGAGGCCATGCTGATAAGAACATTGTGATCATGCTTGTGGGTAACAAATCTGACCTGGGGTCTCAACGAACTGTGACCACAGAAGATGCAAAAGAATATGCTGAGAGAGAGAACCTTTTCTTTATGGAAACGTCAGCCCTTGAGGCAACTAATGTTGAAACAGCATTTGTTACTGTCCTGACTGAGATCTACCGCATCGTGAGCAAGAAGTCTTTGGTTGCCAACGAGGAAGCCGAAGGAAATTCAGCCCTTCTCAAGGGAACTCAGATTGCTGTACCTGTACGGGATCCTAGTCCAGGAGGTAGCAAGTTTAGCTGCTGCATGTCCTCGTAGGAGTCTCTTTTTTCGGATGAAAGGTTCCCGGGTAATTTCTCTTCTTTTTTTTTTTTTTAAATCCTCTGGCTTTTGGGCATATCGCTTCAGGCTTTAAGCCAAAGCTTAGGCCTGTTTGGATTTCTTTTTGAAAATTCTTTTCTATTTTCCAAAACAAAAACATACTTGGCTGGTTGTTTTCCAAAACTACATTTGAAAGAATTTTAGACAATTGTTCCTTTGTGAAAAAACCCAAAAAAATGTTTAGAATTCTAAAAATTTTTTCACTTGAAAATCAAAATGATGTGAAAACAGTTTTCAAGATTTTTTAGTTTCTATTTTTGCAAACATAGAACATGAAAGTGGGAAACGAAAAGAGAGTACAAATCAATTCAGACTTGCATTAGGCTTTTAAGTTTAAAAATATGTATAATTTTTTTAAGTTTTAAAAATATGTGTAATTTTGACTTATTAACTTTTTGAAATTAAAAGCTAAACACTTGAATTGGATCCCAAACACTCCCTAATGTCTCTTGTTAGTTTCCCCTGGTGTACCATTCTCAATTCGCTTCATAATTGTGGTAGTTTCTTCTTTCAGGAGGATACAATGATACTTTGGCTCATCATCAGTTTATGTTCATCTTCTAAGGAGTTGGCTTTTTTGGTGTAATGATGATTTTCTCTAGAAAATTATTAGTTTGCAAACCTAATTTCAGGCAGCTGGCAGGAAAAAGAATATTCTGTTCTTGCTGTACGTCTATACAAAAACTACAAGTCAATTATATTTTGACGAGAATATCTTAAACACACCTTCAACTTCAAGCAAGGCCGGAGTTTAATGATGGGATGCTGTTAGTTTTGTGTAACATTAATGCCCCAGATGATCTGAGTAGTTCTAGTTCATAACTGCAACGCCACGGGTGCCTCCCGGGTTTCCTCTAAACTCAAATTCAACTCCAGATCAAGTGCATTATGTTCTTTTCTGCACCTGTTGATTCCATAAGAAGAATTCAGTCTGGGACAAATGTAAGTGTCATTTTTGTACTTTTTTTTCTCATTTTCTTCTCTATGTACGTGTATAGCCAAATGAATGGGATAGCGGATTCTCGTGTGGAATTTGAATTTTCTTCCGCTAGAGATGGTTGCATTTTGATGAGAGGACAAGCTTGGTTAAGTTTTTTGCGAGCGATCCTTCTCCAGGATTGGTTATTAAGGAAACCCCAGATCTCCATACCTCAGTACTGCAATTAAGTTGTGTATAGTTCTACTGTCAACTAATGAAACAAGACTTCAACTTCACACTGTAGGTGGGTATAGGAAGATGACAAGAGGAGATAAATGATATGTTATATTTGTAAAAAATTTCTAGTAATTCTCTTCATTTCTACTGATTTCTCATCAAATTATCTATTCCACGCTCTTATTGCTTGATATATATACATAATGCATTATTAATTCCTCTACGAGCCAGCCAGCAACTTAGTTATCAAACTCCTCAGTCCGTAGGCATATTAGCCTCTATCTCAATAAATCCTTGTACGCCTGGGTATATGGCTCATCCGAGAGCCAAAGGAAAACTACAATGCACGGATCATTGCATCCCTACATAAAATTTCTCAGATACCAAGTCTAGAAGAGCAAGTTAAGAAGTCCTGAACATTTTATGCAACAGAGTAATTTTGGCCAAACTCATTGCATTGAACTGTTGTTCAATTATTGTCATGCGTAAGTAAAGCCATCAAGCTTCGTTAACATAGGATTTACATCAAGCTTCGTTAACATAGGATTTACAAAAACCGACAAGCGTATAATGTTCCAAAAACAGGCTATTGTAAATGATTCGGACCCACTATCATGCATAAATGAAATCATGAGGGTTTATTTACAAAGCGAATTATACCAAGTCCTTGAATTAAGAAATGAGTTCAGAAGGCAATCTCATAAATGACCAGAACAGAACAATTAAACATGTCCACTGATTATTTTCTTGCGGATGAACAATGGGCACTATTGCTTCAACCTGCTTTATAACTCTGCTCACCACACCAAACTTGCAGTGGTGCTAGATTCTTTAGGGTTATGCACTTCTGACACATTAAAGCTCCCCTTTATTTCCTTTGAGATTAATTACAGCAAGCTCTTTTTCTACAAATTCTCCGGCACAGATAGATGGATACTTGCTGGCTTCTGGAAACTCGGCAAAGTGGCCTAGAGGCTTCAGCACAGCATCAGATGCAATGTGTGCAAACAACTAGACAAGAGGAGAGAAACAATTTGAAAATACCATTTTCCTGCAGTAAAGCAATACAATAAACACAGTTGTTGTCACTCACTGTTGATGATACTCTCCAGAGGCTGCGATGTTGCTCTGATGCAAGTTTAATTGCATCAATTGTCCTGTTAGTGACCACAACTTCATGCATGCCAGCTATACATTCTCCTGCTGTCAACCATTCTATCTGAAAAAAATCACTTATACATTGAGAATGCATGTCACAGAGAACTGAAAATTAATCATTTTAATTTGCTGAAGGTAAGCTTTCAGAAACAGGCGAGATAATTGAACACACCATTTAGTGCAAATGACAGGAGCTACAAATAATTCTATGAAATGCAGTACATGAGTTTTCTTTTTATCTTCTAATAACTGTGTCATACATAATCTTATCCACAAATAATACAAGCAAAGGATTCCTCATATCCTGTTATCTTTGTCCAGTGAAGGAGAAGGCCCCCTGCCCCTATATGCAGTAGGGCTATCAAGAACACAAAGCCTTCTGTGCAAACTTGAAGGATCAATCAGTACCACCATAATATAAACAACTTAATACCAACAATTTGTTAAAAGCTAAACTCACTTATGTTGCGAGAATGAGGAGCAGAATACTTATAGTGTTTTGTAAATCTCGCTGACAAATATTATGTGACTGGAGAATATAAAATTTGCCATTTGCATGGTAAAGAAGCAGCGCAATTCTAGATTCAAATTACCAAAAGTAGTTAATCAACTAGCTCATTGTAATAAACATGACTACCAGTACAAATATGATCTGACCTGCTTTCCCGTTTGAATGAGGAGAGACATCCTACGGGAACCTTAACTTCCATCTTTTGTCCATTTCTTAGCCAAATGTTTAAACCTGGGAATCTACTTCTGCCATGAATTGTTAGAAAGTTAAGGTCATAATGATATCCAGCAAACACCATTCCCTCTTGGCCATGACGCCGAAGGTCACTCCCAGTTGGAGCAAGAAGATGTGGTCCCTGGATTTCAAGACAGAAGACACCTCCATTAAGCAGCACGGCAGTTGAAACAAAGTATTAGTTATATCATGAAGTAGACAGTAATTAGAATGAAATAGTGAGTAATGCACCAATGATAGTAAATCAAAGAGAAAATATCACCAGTATCAATAATTACAGGGACTAAAAGAATACTTAATTTGGAAAATACTTAAAGAAAATCAGCACAGATCACCCATGAAAGCATACATACTGATTGGCAGGCAAGGAATGACAACAAAACATATATCCTAACACTATAAATATTCAATGAGGGGTTCCCATTCTTCTGAACTTATATTCTAACCAATCTGTTACCAAAAAGGCAGCATAAATTCACATGAACTTGGACCATGTCGTGGAAAAGCAACAGGTACGGCTCCTTGCGGCATATCTTAATGGTTAGGAAAGGAAGGTGGATAGATGGATAATAAAACAGACATAGACCTAAATTTACTGCTATTGTCACAAGAAATTCACCCCATATGCAAATATGGGAAATTTCACATCTTAGTATCTTGTAGGATTAAGCAAACCTCTTACACAGAAACCTCAATCACATCAACGCAGATTAATCTGCTCAAATTCCAACAAATTCTTTATGGTTCTTTTAAAAAGTTCTAAAGCCAATCATATCCTTCAAGGAAATAAATCTTCAGCAGATGTTATAAAACCTAACATGAAGTAACTGACCAGACCGTAGAAGGCCAAATAGAAGTGCATTGAAATTTCAGTTTAATTATTGAGTCGCAGAATATCATATTACAGTAATCAAATAGAACCTTAGGGGCACAGTTGTATACTGTCAAAGACATTGGCAAGCATCACGAAATGGAAGATATATATGTCCAATATATAACATGCCTTTGGTGTATGTAGACAGAACTGAAAATTTCAACAGACGTGCATTTTGCATCAACAAGTGTTCAATGCTGCCAATTCAACCATTGACCAATCCAAAGAAGGTGGCTTTTGCATACATCAAAAGAGGTGGTAAGACAAGGAACTAAATTCACCTGCTTCATTAGAGAAGTGAATGCGTCCTTAGGCAAATCAAACCCTATTGCTGCCATTTCTGCAACAGCCTGAGTCAATCAAAAAGTACAAAAATTAGAGGTATTACAGAAGACATACACAAGAAGCATTAAGAAACAAGTGAGAAACCACACTGCTAAGTTACCTCTATAGCAGATATCATTTTGTAGCCCCATGAATCCATGGTATCTTTCCATTCTGGAAACCCCTCAGGTATGACTGGTTCAGCATTCAGTTCCTAGGAAAAAAACATGCCTTTTAATTATAGAAGTAGAAGCATCTCAATATGTGAAAAGGCAGAGAAGCTGTCAGACCTTGAAACGGGTATTTGATGGCCGAGGTCCAATTCTCCACATGTACCGCCACTTTGGATCTGGCCCAACAGGAGTGGCCGGTTGAAACTCTTTGGGCATAGATTGTAATTTCTTTTGCATCTCCCTATCAACCAGGCTACGGGGTACTTCAACTCCTTCAGGTGTTACCCCAACTGTTATTGCCATTTAACACCAGAAGCACCATTAAAATAATATTTCCATTTCCAATTTCTTGCATCCATTATTCTACATTTTCCTCATTTCACCAAAGATAGCCCTTACAAAGTTTTTAATGAAAAATAATAAAAATATTTGAAACATAATTGATTACCCATTCACATGAAAAGAAAAGTAGAAACAATTGGACATGTGACATGTTATCAGCCAGATTGATGGAACTTTGTTGTTCCTATCTCTTTGTATTTGGTCAGCAATACAACATGATGAGCTACCAAATGGATGTGGCCACATCATGCTTCAATAATTTCCAATGCGCTTTAATAAAGCTAAACTAGTGGTTCAAATAGTATCAGTACCATATTCAGTGTTTATAAATATGATGACATTCTATTAGTATTGGGTTTTCCTACTGTATGGTTTTTCATGAATTAGAATAAATTATATCTTGGTGTTGGAAACTGTTGTTCTATTCATATATCTCTGAGTACCTATTCACATATATTAAATTAGAAAAGAGAACCCGGAAAAAAAAAATGGTGCAGAATCTGCTGTTAAAGCTCCTAACTTTTTGGACAAATAGGCTCAAATTTGAAAAATTATATAGTTATTTACCCTTTGCTATCTAACATCCGAGTTAATCCCATCAACCAGAGCCCGAACCCAATTTTATTAAGTGTGTGTTATTCTGATTCAGTTTTCTCTAACATAGCTAACAATAAGCACAATTACGGATCCTAAAAAAACTATGGGAGCAAAATGTAATGCTGACATTACATATTCCAAGGATGAAAAAACAATTTTGTTGTGAATAAAATCATCTTATCCATACACAAGCCCACAATGATTAAAATCAACAAAAGCAAAGTCTTCAAACTTGCGCACAATTATTGCCCAATCACAATGAAAAGGAAGAAGAAGACTTTACAACAAGAACATAAAGAAAAACTGCATGCAAAAATCAGAGCAGAAGGCCAAAGATTTCATGTAATTCGAAATAGAAGAATTCCATTGACTCTGATGATCACTCTTTCAGTCCTCGGCATTCCTTGTAAAAAAAAATTAAATTAAATTAAAAGTCGTCTCAAGTAGGAAGTAAGTAAACTGAAAAAACTCCATCTCTTGTGTACTCCAAGACCAAAACACCGTAAGCAACTACAAATGTATAGAGACACAGCATTATCACATAATTTTACACAGTGGAGTAAATAACTGAACCCGAAATGGAGGTGAAGCAGCATTTGCAACAAGAACAAAAGGACAAGATTCATAATAAATTAGACCAAGACGCCAAAGGTTTCATGTAATTCGAAATTAGAGACGGTCTATTGATTCCGATTTCCAACTCGATAACTCTCCTAGTCCCCTCATTGTTTACCGGAAAATTAAAAGCCGTCCAAAATAGATTTCGTTCTAATTCCTCCAAGACATCTATGCATATACGTACGCAGAAATGTGCGTAACATTATTACATGAATTACGCAGTGAAATAAACAACTGAACCTGGTAATGGAGGTGAGAACGCTCTTGGAGGCGTTTGAAGTCCTCCGGCCGTTCGAAGTATCTCTCCATCATATCGATGAATCGATCGTTGTCTTCGGCGGAGCATCTCGGATCTTTCACCAGCAGAGCTCCGGTTTCACTTAGGGATCGACTTACCTCCTCACACAACTTTTTCAGCTTGGGATCCAAATCGCAACTGGATTTAGCAGAGGCATCTAGGTAAAGAGCCAGATCTATCACCGGCAGCTCCATTGGCGCTTCTTCTTCTTCGATTTTAGAGAGAGAAAGGGAAAGTGGGGGAAACTTTGATTCGAAGAAGAGCGTTTGTTTGATGATGGCGGGAGAATATTGCACGCGCACGTTTAAGCGGCACAGAGGACCTTCGTGATTGGGCATCGAGATTCGCAAAAGAGGCGCTTGCTATAAAGCGCCTTGCGTGCGTGGTTTTTACACCCACAGTTTTCTTGTTTGCAACTTTCTCTTTTTAATCTTTTCTCATCAGGCTTCATCGCGCTAAAATCCAAATAAGGCTAGGGCTTCTTGCAAATCTTTAAAATTAAAAATTTAGATTTAAAATAAAGATAATTATAAGTAAATTATAATAAAAAAATTATGTACATTTATAATAATAAAATAAATACTTTAAATATATTTTTATAATTTATTTTAGTCAAAAATTAGAAAAATTTATAAAATTTTGAAAAAAATCGATAAGATTTTAAATTTAAGAAAAAATTAAAAAAATTGTTTAAATAATTTTTATTTAATTACAATAAAATCAACCATGATTAGAAGTACTTTTCCTTTATATTTATAAAATTTGTTTCTAATTCTTTTTTCTTACTTGAATTAAAAAAATAAAAATTAGAAATAAATTTTAAATATTTTAAAAATAATTAAATACTTTGAAAAGCTCAAAATCACATTTAATAAATTATTGCAAATACCGCCAAAGAGTTAAAACACGCAATTTTTTCACTAATTTTGTGACAAAATAACATTCTTCCCTATATTCTTTATAATTTAAAAAAATATTCCAAAAAAATCAAAAGAACTGTAAATTAATAAAAATTTCTTTTAAAATTTTAATAATTACTTATCTTTTTAGTAAAAATCCAAAAGCAGACTTCATTTGCACGAACAGGCGTCGGCCGGCGCCTCTGCGGCGCACGGACACGCCTTACGCAAATCGCACAGCGGCCAAGACTTTTTAAAAAAAAAAAAAACAGGGTTATTTTGGAAAAAATATCATTTTATCATGTTTCTTATTCTATTAAATAGATAGGTAACCGAACATGTGATAATGGGTGAAATACTATACGGGTAAGATAAATTTTATCTTGTCTACCCTACTACCTCTTATCCTATCTTTCAAAACGAACGCCTCCGAAATGAAATTCCTAAAGCAAAATAGGAGCTTTGTAATTGATATTCATTAAGCTTTTACTACAAAATCGCGTGTAAACAATTCGCAGACGATGCGAGGAAAAATCGTTATTAGATTATCCCATTTTTTGATTTACGTATTTAGAAAATTGATATTTTGTAAATATTCTAAGTCAATTGAAACATCCCAACACGTCACGCTTTATTTACGTTGTAAATCCGAGTGAAACAAGTTAAACCTTCTCCGGACGTCACAGTATATGATTTCTACGACGGTGGTCAATTGCTGAAGGTTTAGTTTTTGCTAAAATTAATGGAATATCTGGTATTCGTACTTCTACAAGTTATAATTTTTTTATAGCAATAAAAAAAATTAATTTTTTATGGAATTTGATTTATTTAAAATAACTTTTTATATAAACCAAATATAAAAAAAGAAAAATCGATTTTTATATTGTTATAGAGAAGATAATGCCGTATCTTTTAAGCCAAGACACTGATCCCAGTTCTTCTTTAACTCCAGCTCAGAGATGTATATTCTCTTGGAATTTTGTTATTTTGGAATTATCTAGTTTTGGCCCCAACAATTAGCCATGATAGACTTGAACAACAGGCTTGTTAAGAATTACACAGACAGTATACCACCAACTCTTCCTTAACAGAAGAGACTATTAGTGGAATTAGAGGCTATACCAGACAGCCACTATCAAAGCAGGGAACGCTATAATGCTATAGGCTTAAACCATCTCTGCAAACAAAGGACTTTCTTCATGGCATTGGACAACATAGAGGAATCAGAGTTTCAGAGAAACCGAATAAAGTAACCAATGCTTTGCCACTTAGAAATAGAGATTTACAAGCAGAGTGTGAGCAAAATCTAATGAAACATGAATGGATGGCCAACAGAGATAGCTAGAGTAATCAAGTCTTTTTTTCTGCACCTTGTAGTATTTGCTTTAACTTTGAGATGAGATTTGCCTCGTACGGCATCCAACCCTCCTACCGAATGCAGTTGTTAATCAGCTGCCTATAATTGACTCTTTCGCTGTTGAGAAGATAGTTGTAATCTCCACGGCTATTGCTGGAAAATTTTATACCATGATAAAATTTTTTTTTACTCCAGGAGATCTGTGCTCCGATTTTTAGAATTTGGTAAGATAAATGAAAGCGTTCGGACCCAAGAATTGAAAAAGAAAAACCCAGTAACTATTTCCAGAACGGCAGAGCAGTTTAAACTTATTTCAACGACAATCATTCTTCCTGATGCCAAGAGGAACATAATGTCATAGAAATGAGTAAAGGCTGAAGCTATCCTCTCAATAACCTTTTTCTTTTCCCTAACACGAAAACCTTCAGGATAATTGAGAAGAGATCCTTGGAGGATAGATTCATCATCTGATCTTAAGCAATCTTAGGTCAGAAGACAAGCAATTACGTTTGCTCAATCCTACTACTGTAAAGCAGTCAATGTACAATTTCAAGGCATTCCTCCGGAAAACTGATTAAAGCAAACAGAGACACAGTACAGTTTAAGCACTGCACCGTGGAAACTACAGAAACATAATATACAAAACATAGATCTTCCAATCTGTCTTGTGGAAACTCTTAGGTAAATCAGTGAAAAGCTTTATCAATTGACTAGATTGGTTACACCTTTGGGTAGAAGTGCAGCAAAAATTTTAAGCTGTACTGACACTAGCAATCTTAGCAGAGCCTGCTGGCATTAGCATCCCTAGCTGAAACCTATCATCACTTGATAGAACAAATCATTGGTTCTACATCATATCAATGTGAATTTGCAAATTATAGCAACGAAGGGATGAATGAAACTACGAGCAAGTACTAACAAAAATCTTTCAAAAAAGAAGGCCTACCGCATCCTACATGAGATAAACACTTAACAAATTTTAAACTGAACCAGTTATGATATGACAGAAATCAGAACCCTCTTGGGGTCAATGGTATACAGATTACGATCATCGAAGACTCTGTGAATCAAAATTATAAAGGATGTGAATCAAACAAAGGGAGAGAATACAAACTGAACGGTAACACGACAAGGTCATACAAACGGCTATAGTGGAAAGAAGAATTTTACAAGAGACAAGATAGAGATGGAGATACTGAAGCGAGAGAGAGGCCAGTATACTTGTAAAAATAGCAAAGTTCCATAAATGATATTCAAACAAGCAAAAGCTCAACTATTTCACGATTCAAAATGACAGTAACATCTAAACCACCACTGATTTACATCACTGCCACAAGCCCCAACCCTAATCCCCAACCTGAAACAACCAAACAAACACCAAAGCTACAAAAAGACCCAAGCACCCTTAAGCTCTCTCCCTCGGATCCTCCTGGCGAGCTGAATGTCCTTGGGCATAATCGTAACCCTCTTGGCGTGAATCGCGCACAGATTCGTATCCTCAAACAGCCCCACCAAATACGCCTCAGCCGCCTCCTGCAGAGCTGCCACTGCACTGCTTTGGAACCTCAAATCCGTCTTAAAATCCTGAGCAATCTCACGGACAAGCCTTTGGAACGGAAGCTTGCGAATCAGAAGCTCGGTGCTTTTCTGATACTTTCGGATCTCACGAAGCGCCACTGTCCCTGGCCTGAAACGATGAGGCTTCTTCACGCCACCAGTCGCCGGCGCCGATTTACGGGCGGCCTTGGTGGCCAACTGCTTCCTCGGGGCCTTGCCGCCAGTGGATTTGCGAGCTGTTTGCTTGGTACGAGCCATTTCGAAGGAGAGAAGCGATTCAGTAACTAGAGAGAGAAGCGTTGAACACGAAGACACTAGCAAATAGAGAACGCAAATCGGAGTGTGCGTGAGAGCATGTTCAGGATTGAAGAGTTTATATAGAAATGTAAAAAGTCGGGCGCGGGAGGTTTTGAAATTTCCGGGTTATTTGAATTTGGGGTTTTGGCAGTTTCAGTGGTTTACTATTAGTCGTTGATGAGGGACACCATAAACGGCGCGGCTCTCTCGAAGAATTAAGAAGCGGATCACGATCCGTGAGGGTATGAAACAGCCTATAAATTTTAGCCACGTGTATACATTTGTTTTATTTGGCTGGCACTCATTTCCCTCCCTTTTTTTTTTTAGGCGCAAATTTCCCCCTAATTTTAGTCAAAGGCACTTTATCACGGGAAATTTCAATAAACGAAATAAATAAAGAAATACAACTGAAGGGGATTGCAAACCATTGCGGGCCAAATTGCATTCAAAAAAATAAATAATATTTGAAATATATTAGCTAGTTATATGAGGACCATTCTGGAAAATTGGGGATATAATATTTAGGTGTAAGTATTTTTCTTTTTCCATTATGTGAGAAAACGAAGTTAATTAGTTAAACATTTCACCGTGTGTATGTAAATGAAGTCAATAACATACATAATCACAATTAATTGACACAAAAAATGTATATAACTTGATTGTTGATCAAATATTTTACACGAACTAAATAATAATATCTTTTTTCTTTAAGAAGATGAAATATTTCGACTTCCCTTGAATTAAAAAAATTATTTTTCTCAGTGAGCCAACTACATTATTAGTTGAGAAATGAATATTATAAAATAAATATAAAAAGTTGATTAGCAATTTTATATCTCAAAACTTTATAAAAATAAATTTTAAATAATATTTTATATTATTTTTATTAAAAAATAAAACGTCTCAGGTTTAAATTTGGTTTTAAACTACCAACGTTATTGAACCATCCCTAATTTTAAGTATTTCTATTTTTAAATTCATTTATCATTGTTTTGTCTTATTTTAACAACGTTGCTCCTGCATTGTGGTCTTATTTCCTGATATTCTCTTTTTCCGTGGGAATTTTGAACAAAAACGTCGTACAAAGGAATTACCTTAACAGCACAATGATTTATGTCGGTTACTGTTCCGAAATATATCATTATTATTATTCTTTATCTCCTCGAATGACTTTATGATTACCTAGGATGACTTTTAAAACTCAGCAAAACTGTTTTTATAAGTTATTACTTTAAAAAAGTACTGCAAATTGGTAATAATATATAAAGAAGTTAGAGATGTTTATAAATTCTTTGAAAAAATAATAAATTTAATAAATTAATATTTAATAAAATAATTATAATAATTATTTATTACGTTAAAATATCTAAATTACTCGTACTTTTAAAAAGTAATATATATGGTCATAAAAATAAATTTTATTAGGTTGTAAATATAATTGTGAAATTATTAAGATTGAAAAAAATAAATTATTAATAATTCATATAAGTTGCTAATAATTTTTAATAATTTATATAATTATCTTTATATAGGTTATTAAAAATTTTTAAAACCTAATTCTTGACACTCTACTTTTTAATATAATTTTACTTTCAATTTAAAAATATAATTTTACTTATTTTTAAATTCTAATTTAATTTAAATAATCAACCGCACAATAATATATTTGTTGATTTATATAAACATAAAATAAGATTATAATAAAATTATTATGATATATTTGTCTAATAAAAATTTTAATTATTTACATTTATACTATTAGTTACAAAAAGTATAAGTTTAAATACTTCTACTTCTGATTATTTTTAGGTAAAGTTTAAAAGAAAATAGCACAAAAAGTAGTAGTGTAAACAAATAAAATGCTAAAAAGTTATTAGAAATAGAAAATTACTAAAAAATAACTTGTGCAAATAAGTATAATGTTAATGCTTCCCTGCTACTCCACCTAACTTTTTTTGCCACCAACTTAAATCATGTCTTTTGAGCAAAATTTAATGGATTAACACTGTTGTAACTCAAAAATGTACGGGTTAATATAAATCATTTGGTTAATTATCTTATTGGGTTTTATTTTTATTTGTGCCCTATGATTCATAAGATTGTGCCTTCTTCACACCTTTCATGTAGGACTTGGTGCCGACACAGGGTAGAGCACCTTCCACTAGCCCTGTTCTCAGGCCGTGACCTAACCCGACTGGGATCGGACTGCCAGTTCCAGTCTGAAAAAATGATGAACCGGGACCAGAATCTTGAAGGCCGGTCCAGTTCTAGTTCCGGTTCATGCCGGCTCACGGTTCTGGTTCACCACGGTTCCGGTTCCGGTTCGTTCACAATTAGTTCCTGGTTCATTAATGGTCCGGTTCGTTCACGGTTCGTTTCCGGTTCATTAACGGTTCGGTTCGTTCACGATTCATTCCCGGTTCGTTCATGGTTCATTCCCAGTTCGTCTACGGTTCAGTTTAATTATGGTTTACTTTTATCAATAAAAATTTATATGCTAACTTAAAAACAATTTTTGGTTATTAAATATATTTTAAATATTATAAATATTTAATCTTATAAATATCTTTTTTTTACTAAATATAAAAATAATAACAAAAATGGTGCTCAATATTTGATTTTTTTATTGTCTGATTAGATAAAAAAATAATTTATTTAATTTGAAAAATTTCAATTAAATAAAAAATTTTAAAAATTCATATCCTTTTTTATTAAAATAAAAAAAATTCTCTCTTTGATGGCCAAATGTTCTGAAAAAGAAAAAGAAATAAAATTTTACAATATTATTTGATAATTTAATGTGACAAGTCCACATTAAAAAATTAAATTCAAATTATTTTTGAAATATCATATTATTTTAGATTGATCCTTAACCCAACACAAAATTTCAACTAATCTGAGTTTGCACATGATCATTTACTAAAATATTACAAGTGAATTGAGATTATCTTCTGCTCTTTATTTTGTCTACATATCACATTAAATCATATCCAGTCCATCAACATCTGTACATCAAATTAAGTCTTTGACTAAGTTAAAATTTTGATATATCAAAAAAAAAAAAGAAAATAACCTTATTACTTTCAAGTTTGAAGTCTGATTTCTAGTTATTTAAAATAATTTGTTAATATTTTTTCTCAAATAAATATACACCTATTTTGTCTATTTGAACCATTTTTATAAATTAAAAATATTTCAAATTTATGACAACCAAAATAAAAAAAATACAATTGCAGATATGAGATCCAACATAAACCATAACAATATTGATGACAATACAAATTAAATAAGAAATTATTTTATTTATAATTATGTACATAAATTGAAAAAAAGAAAGATAATTATGTAATTAAGTTAAAAATAAAAATAAAAAAAAATGATTTGAACTTAATTGTGTATCAATTAAGTTGCCTACGTATCCTCTTGGGGTTTAGAGGTATCAAAATCCACATAGTTCTCTTACCTTAATTAGTGTACCCGTTACCTTTTATCTTAATCTTCACTATCTCCAATTCCAGCCGTTCCTTCATCATCATCTTGATTTGCCTCTATGATAAATTCTCGTTGTCTATACATATCCTTTGTCCAATTATCAACACATGACTGAGCTTCAACATTTGTTGGAAGCATGCTCGAACAAGTTTCATTTAATATCTGATCTCCTGCACTAAAAGCTTGTTCAACCGGAACTATTGAAACAAGTGACACTAAGATATCTTTTGCCATGCGTGAAAGAATTGGAAATTAACTCGATTTTTGCTTCCACTATCGAAGAATTTCAAATTGTTCTTCTAAACCTGCATCTTGCTCACTAAACTCAAAAGAAGTTGTGAGACAATTTTTAATTTCATCTAAATTTTCTGCACTTTAGTCTTTTAATTATTTCTAAAATCATTATTAATCATTTACCTTTATTCTTTTTTGATTGTTGAGTTGATAATGATTCGGTTCGTTGGATATGGGCAATATCTTTATATATTTAACAATATTCAATATATATTTTATTTAAAATATCATTTATCTTTTCTATTTTTTTGAAATATCACAGAGTATTTTTATAGTATCATAATAAATATTTAATAAGTCATGTAAATCATCTATTTGATACGAGGATCTAAAATTGTAGCAATTATATTAAGTTTAGGAATTTTTTTGAAATAAATTAACCATTTTTCTTTCATTGCATTAATAGCTCCAAATAAAGAAATATCATGATCATCATCATAATCATATAAAACAGCAACAATACTAATAGCATGAGTTAATAACAAATGACTAGTAGGATAATAAACACTAGATAACACTTGAGTATTATCATAAAAAAATTTTAAATTTCAATTAATTTCTTGCAAACATCCCATTGTCCTGGATATAATGTAACTTGATTAACATGAGGAGCAATAAAATTATATAATAAATTTCTATAAAGATAAGATTCTACTAACAATTCATAAGTTGAATTTCAACGAGTTGAAACATCTTTTGGAAAACTTTTGAGTGGTATTTCATTTTGTTTACAAATTTTTTTTCAACTTTTTAATGTATTTGAATGAAACCACAAAGGAGAAATTGCTGTTTTAATTGGGTTAAGATCATCAACAAGTTTAATACCATATTGCACATATAAATTTAAAATATGACAAAAAACATCTAATACGAAAAAAACGTCCACAGAGTATAGGTTTACAAACTCTTTTTAAATTGGGAAGAGAAGCAGTATTTGCACTCGCATTATCAAAAGATATAGAACAAATTTTGGTAGTTAAATTATACTCATCAAGAATAGTATTTATTAATTTATAAATATTATCAGTAGTGTATCTTTCGTTAAAACCTCTAAAAGTAATTAATCTTTTTTGTAATAACCAATCTTCATCGACCCAATGACATGTTATACCTATATACGAATGTTTACGGCAAGTACCACTTCACACATCACTACAAATGGCTACGTGTCCATTAAAATGAAAAAAATATTTTGATAAATCTCGTTTTCCTTCATTATATAGTTTTTGTATAGTACATGTGAGGGTTGTTCTTTTAACAAGTTTGAAACAAGGATTTAAAGCGTTTTGACAGTAATTTTTTAAATTGATGTTTTTACCAAAACTAAATGAAAGATATTCAACTGCTACTAACCTTGTAAGTTCCTCTCTGTTGATTTCATCTAAGTAATGGAAATATCCGGAACTATTAGATCCATTGTTAATAGGAATTTGTGTTTGTCCCTTATCAAATCCTGTTTAAGATGGATGTTTACTAATAAAGTATCTTTTTAGTGTACTATAACCTCCTCATTTTTTCC